TATTAGTATTGATTAATTGAATTGTTGTATTGATTAGTTATTAGTCATATCACTACAGTTTAAGAGTCTAAGATTTTTTTTTTCCATGATAAAGTTAAGTAATGCAATGATACTATAAAAAAAACAGTTCTTAAAATCCTCCTTCAAATATTCCGGGTAGTTCACAACAAAGTGAGCCTATTGAGTTGGATGAATTATTGGCTAATCTTCCTGCAGACATTGGACATAGACGTCAAATGCTTTCTTATTCACCTAATTATCGCGAAGCAATTCGTAGACACTCTTCAAAATGATTATTGTCAACCTAAAGATCACATCATTGCCAAAAAAAACTAGCAACAATTGATGTTTTATTACGGTCAGGATCAATGGTTAAATGATAGCATGATTGTTTACATTGAGATACATGTATTTGCTTTTATTGACAATAATCTATTATGCACGTTTTCATGACATGAAACCTTACCAGCAACAATTGTAATTTGGTTGTTGCCCTTTTTTTTAACTTTGCACTTTTTAAGTTCGCCCCTCCCATCGGCAATTCCTGGCTTCGCCACTGCGGATTCCTATGTTAGGCTATTGATTTTGGATTTGAGAAAATATACTTCACACGCAAGAAGTAAATGATGTCAAAGTAAATATATATCCTAGCCAAAAAAAAAAAAGTAAATTTATATCTTAGCCAAAAAAAAAAAGTAAATTTATATCTACTTTAAGAATAAAAATAAATAAATTTTACCAAATAAACACTAAGAAAATAAATGTGTTTATTTATTTTATGCATTAAAACTTGTTAGGTAATAATATTTTATTTATGAAGAAAGTTTAAAGTTGGGTTTTACTATAAAACAAATTAATAATATGAATAGTAATTCAATTTATTTATAAGCTCATACAAAATTTCTTATCTTATTAATATGAGATTTATTCTTAACAAGTTCCGTGCTCATAGAATTAGAAGTGCATCGAAGGTGGGAAGATACGTTGGGCAGGTTGCAATGCCAACCAACCCTAGTCGCACCTCAAAAATTTGTTTTATTCATTCAAGCATAACTCAATCCTACCCTAGGCCATCAAGTATTTTATGAACTCGAGTTGTCCAAGATGAACTTGAATTGGGCATGTGAATTGGTACAAGCTGTTTTGCAACAAAATCTCCTGCGTTGTTCTCAATTTTCATTCATAAATTTGCACAATTCAATAATTAAATTGAAATTTTAAATTTAAGATTTTCCATAAACAGAGTTGATCGAGACAAACATTGCCCTCAGATCTAGAATGTAACTCAAAATTATTCGAATTTATTTTGAGTTTATATTCGGGGTTGGGTTTTTGTGCTTCATATTACTCACTAAACCGAACTCAAGATTTGGATTTTGTTTTGTCTATCTAGATCTAGCAGATATGGGTTGAATCAGATTTATAAATTTCTTTAAACATGAGCATTAAAAAAATAAGAGAGATCATAAAAGATGACATCGAAATATCCAACAATGTTGATAAAAGAAATCATTTTATCATCAGCTTACCGACCTTTAGCCCTTGTTATTTTAATCATCAAACCTTCCACTCATTAGATACTATTATATGTCTCATGACGAAGATATTCAATAGGGGTGTGCTATCTATACATCAATTTTTACTTCTCACACATCATTTGTTAATTTATGTTCGTTGATCTTCTTCAATTCATTCGATCTAATGGCCGAAAATTAAAAAGTGTGGGAGAAGTAAAAAGAGGTGTATGTATATCACCTTCCTATTCAATAATATGTGTTTTTGAAACACTACTCCTGCTACAGTTTCATTCTTCATACATGTATGTCGGCCTCTTTTAGACTGAAAATCAAAAGACTTGCATTCGACAACTCAACCTTCGACCATTAACTACAACCAAAGGTGTTTGTTGTGGAGGTCCATCACATGCTTCCTGTATTAATTTTACGGGTGGCAATTTCAACTTTCAATATTTAATTTAATTCTTGGACCATGGTTCACAGAAGATACTTGTTTATAGAGGTCAAGTGTTTTTGTGAATGGTACCTACGAATTGTTAAGAATGAATCTCACGTTGATGAGAAGATGGGTCTTGCATGTGATTATAAGTAGTTGAGATATTCAACAGATTGTTAATTGATTTTATGGTGGAACCTCAACCTTCTTCATGGTGAAGTCGAATGGCCACCACACGTGTTCCACGCCACCTTAATTGTGTTGTTACATGTTAAGCTTGAAAATTCATCACACATTAGGGGTCGTGTTTAGAATGAGTCTCACATTAATTAGAGGATGGACCTTACATGATCTTATAAGTAGTTGTGCTATTCTCTACACTGCCAATTAATTTTATGATTGATACTCAACTTTATTCACGAATGATATATAATCAAGGAAGTCTATTGAAATTTTATTTTCAGTTAATTTAATTTTGGTATTCTACAGTTTAACTAATTAACTTGCTTAGAGATTGCATGCATGCGTATATCTGCAAATAAATGTATACTCCCAGGGAAAAGCGAACAAATCTGAGATATATCGAAAGCAGAGCAAGATTTTTCTGCCTCAAATGTTTGGTTTTCCCTCACAAGTTAACACAGAAACGTGCCCTAGCTCTTAGCCATAATATATATTTGTGGAAATATGACAGGAATTTAAATGTCACCATCGATATATAATCTATAATCTCTATAGATACCGAATGGAAGGACGTTAGAGAATTGCTTTTATTATTAATGATTGAGCTAATCTGATCATGTCCTTTTCGATCCATATCAAATAAAGCACAGCACATGCATGACCAAATAGAAAAAGCAGACGGAAGTATGTAAAACGGGCTTGTGACTCGAGGTTCCTCCACGTATTTGCCGACATGCATTCTAGATGTTACAGTTAAATTCGGTTAGGTCCGTCAGATTCTAATCACGTGCCTTGTTGATCCCCATTTTATTACAGGATTTTATCTCCGTGTGTAATGTTTATGTTGAGAGAGAGAGAGAGATTTATTTCAACTGGTGCATATTCAACCGAGCCTCTCATCATTATTCAACTTTTCTTTTTAAGTTTATTATTGGTTGTCATGCGTCCAAGTCTCACCAGTCATTGTCCCTGGCATTTCTTTTTCTGTCACACCAGGTAACACTATAAATGGAAAATATCTTTTACAACACTCCAAAATCTACCATTGGCTTATACCATAACATGGTGTATAACTATACCTAATACATTAATGTCATGAATAATCCAAGTCGAATTTGTAATAGTGAAACTCTGACATTCATTTCATAGACAGGTTGAATCAATGTCACATCTGCTTTTTTTAAATAATTTGATTACATAAAATTAACTGCAAACGCGTAAATCATACCGAGTTGTTGATTGAATAACGGTATAAAATTTTCATTTAAAATGGTTAAAGCATCACCTCAAGCTTTGTGGTAAGTTTCATTTTCTATTAGACTAGGAATAGAACCACCTCATACTTATATATATATATAAGTGAAGAGATCATGGCTACCACTTCACCATTATTCTAAGCTTTTCCATCTCTCTCTTTTTATATACGTAGACATTCAAACCTCACTTCTTTCTTTTTTGAGAGTTTTGCATACCAATTGGTGGAAACCAATGAATTCGATGCGCTGAAGTCAGAATTTGGGAAAGTTTTGTAATTTATAGTTGCCTTGAAATTTTGAATTATAGATAGAGGCCAAAAACGCGAGACAACTGATGGATGACTTGGTGTGATAAAAAGCAATTGGAAGCTCCAGGGTCCTTGATTTTCTAAAAGACGTAAGCAGCTTTCGATGATTTGATATTTGGCCTCCTGTATGAAAATTATTTTAGTGATATATTCTATATGCATGCATTGACTATTTTAATAATCTCCTGCCATTTCTCTGTTTGGGTTGAATTAACTTATTTCAGTTGTAAATTAATGGGTTTAGTTCATTGTTAATTTATTTGTTTGTCTTATGATGTTTAATTAAAAATATATGTCCTTTTTAATTATATTGTCGAATCATTCATCCAAGAACACATGAATATATAAATCAAATATGCAATGGCACCATTTGTTAAAAACATATTAGCATCTGTTTTTGTAGTAATTCTAATCTATTTATTGTTCTATAAAAGAATGAATTTAAACTATTTTTTTGTTTTCTAACGAAATTAGGTTAGTAGTCTTTGTTCTTGGAAAACAGTTAAATTCCTTTTTTATATATATAAACCATATATTTACACTAAGAGTTGGAGAAATAAATTGATTATGAACTCGTAATTTACGAGATTCAGACTAAAATCGTTCACTTACAAGTAAAAAGAATATTAATATACCACAATACTAAGTGACTTGACTTTATTATGTTCTAAATTTCCTTTTGAATCTGACGACTATGTGATTATAATTTACACCTGTATACGCATGTGTGTCCAAAATTTAATCTTTTCATAACTACTAATAGTCCTTAAGGACTGCCCAACCGAGTCTCTCATCATTATTCAACTTTGCTTTTTAAGTTCATTATTGGTTGTCATGCGTCCAAGTCTCACCAGTCATTGTCCCTTTCATATACATTTTTCTTCACTATAAATGGCATTTCTTTTTCTGTCACACCAGGTAACACTATAAATGGAAAATATCTTTTACAATACTCCAAAATTTACCATGTTCTTATGCTATAACATAGTGTATAAATATACCCAATACAATAATGTCATAAATAATCCAAATCTGAATTTGTAATAGTGATACTCTGACGACCATTTCATAGACAGGTTGAATCAACGTCACATCTGTTCTTTTTAAATAATTTGATTACATAAAATTAACCACAAACGCATAAGTTATGCAGAGTTGTTGATTGAATGACAGTATAAAGTTGTCATTTGAAATGGTTAAAGTATCACCTCAAGCTTTGTGGTAAGTTTAATTTTCTATTAAACTAGGAATAGAACCACCTCATACTTTATATATAAGTGAAGAGACCATGGCTACGACTTCACCATTATTCTAAGGAGTATCACCTCAAGCTTTGTGGTAAGTTTCATTTTCTATTAGACTAGGAATAGAACCACCTCATACTTTATATATAAGTGAAGAGACCATGACTACCACTTCACCATTATTCTAAGGCTTTTCCATTTCTCTCTTTTGTATATACGAGGGTAGACATTCAAACCTCACTTCTTTCTTTTTTGAGAGTTTCGCATACCAATTGGAGGAAACCAATGAATTCGATGCGCTGAAGTCAGAATTGGGAAAGGTTTTGTAATTTCTAGTTGCTTTGAAATTTTGAATTATATATAGAGGCCAAAAACGCGAGACAACTTATAGATGATTTGGTGTGATAAAAAGCAATTGGAAGCTCCAGGGTCCTTGATTTTCTAAAAGATGTAAGCAGCTTTCGATGATTTGATATTTGGCCTCCTGTATGAAAATTATTTTAGTGACATATTCTATATGCATGCATTGACTATCTTAATAATCTCCTGCCATTTCTCTGTTTGGGTTGAATTAACTTATTTCAGTTGTAAATTAATGGGTTTAGTTCATTGTTAATTTATTTGTTTGTCTTATGATGTTTAATTAAAAATATATGTCCTTTTTAATTATATTGTGGAATCATTAATCCAAGAACACATGAATATATAAATCAAATATGCAATGGCGCCATTTGTTAAAAACATATTAGTGCTAATTTATGTCCTTTTTCATAACCACTAATAGTCCTTAAAGACTGAAACCGGTGTCCTGTACAAGTAAAACTGAAAAAAATTTCATACCTTGACGTGAAATCACAAAATCCAGATTCTAATTTATTAAAAAAATGATATAGTTAACTACTGTCGAAAAAAATAGTTTTTTTTCATTGAGAGTTGAAATCAATAACATTTTGCTTACTAATAAATGGGTGCTCTAACCAGCTATACAACTTTGTTGACATTGTTAACTAGTGTGGATTTGTACAATGGGTATTTTTTGGTCGAATGAGTAAAGAGATCATCTCAACAATTAGTGCAATCAGTTGGTGTGACATGCAAGCATGGTACGTAAAGATTTGAAATTTTAAGGAGGAAAAAGTGCCGACGCTGCTCTTAGCTAGAATATTTATCTGATGCGTGTATGAGCCGCGTGTCCTTCTCTTAAGCAAAGACTCTCAATCCTCGTAGCTATATATATATATATATATATATATATTCAAAGTACACAAAATTAAGTCGTTGGTATTGATTTAATGCGATTTTCACCTTATAAACATATATCCCTAGCTTTCCAGCCATCCCCAACTAATTTTTTCAATATATGTGTGTGTGTGTGTGTGTGTGTGTGTGTGTGTGTGTGTGTGTGTGTGTGTGTGTGTGTGTGTTTGTTGTGTGTGTATAAGCTCTCGTTCTCATTCTTTATATAAAAGCCAGCCAACGTCCTCAATTCGATATAGGACATGTAAGCAGCATTTTGATTTCGATTTATATATGTTGTTTAATTTGTTTATGTTTATCTTATTGCTTTCAAGTTAATCTGAATAGGTTTTTTATTTAAGGTAGGATGATGTTTCAAAGTAGTCATAGCTAGTCGATGTCAACGTCTCCGCGGATTGCCATGCAAGTAATTTCGTTTTAGCAGTAATCTTTGAATTTTGTCAAATTAATCCTTATCATATCAGGAGCTGGTAATATTGACAGTTGAGCCTATCAACTACAAGTATTTGTTTTATACAGTATTTCCTAATAAGGCTTAAAAAAAATTAAGATTGCGTATAAATATTTGTTAATTTTCTTCAACAATTAAGGACACAATCTAAACTTTTTTCTAATAATTAAGGAGATTTTCCTATGTAAACAAGTTTGCATATTATGTACCAAACTGTTGAGCTTTTTTAAGTGGTTTTGTCATTGGTTGTAAGAGATAAGTTTGCTACAAGTTTTGCGGTTCGGCTTTAATGCTATGTAGAGTGTTTTAGCTGTTAAACTTGATTTTTGCAACTATGTAGTCTGTGTTAGATCATCTATTTTAGAAAAATGCAAGTTTTAGAAGTTAAAATTTTGTAATAAGCCTGCATGTGTCAAACTCCCTAAGTTTTATGGGAAGTCTTTTTTATTTAATACTCTGTGGTTTTATAATTTGATTTTTATTTATTTATTTCTGCAGGCTGCACATACAGGTTGGTCTGGTCGGTTAATGAAGATTCAAGAACAGGTAATATATATGTGTGTATATATATATATATATATATATCTACTAGATAGAGATATTACATTGCAGCTTATATCTAATTACTCTCATCCTTATTGAGGATGATAATCTTGATGATATATATATATATATATATATATATATATATATAGTCTTGAAATAGAGTAGATCTGCTTTCCAATTCTTATTCTCTTCTTTTATCAGCCTTTTATACATAGGATTGTTAACCTATATTTCTCCTCGTCAACATTATTTTATATTCTTATCTAATTGCTAACAATTTTCATATATACCAAGTGGTTTTTTCAATGTTTCTTTCACCTTGTATAATTGTATGTACTGCTTATCATGCCATGGCCTCTCTGTTGGAGATAAAAAGCATATTTTGTGCAGATCAGATATGTCTCACATAATGGCTTGAATATTTACTCTTCGTAGGACCCAAGGAAATGTGGTAGCTAGGTATAGTGAATTTAAAATATTTAACAATTTTATTTCAAAGTGCGAAACTTAATTTACTTTCAAAGTTTGAATTGGAATGAATTAACCACTATTTTTAAGGTAGAAGATGAATTGCTCATTAAAAAAACAAAGTCATTTCAATCCTCTCTAAAATGATAGGATTAGAAAGGAAGAAGTTTTCTTTATGTCTAATCCCCTCAAAATGAAAGATTCCACTATGCCCTCTGTTGATGCACAAAACCGGAGGGGTCTTGGAACAACATAAATCCGACCGTGAATTTGCAAAAAAGTAAAGAACACAAGATGTATCGTGGTTCACCCCAATGTTTGGGCTACGTCCACACTGATGTTGATATTGTTTCACTCTGAATGGTGAATATACAAGAAGGCTAGAGGCAGTGTGCTCTCTAGCCTATTTTCTGTGTTTGCCTGAGATGTTTTCTCTCTTCCCATGGCCTAAATAAACCTTGACCTCTCCTAATGAGGAGAGTGAGGAGTCCTTTTATAGAATAAGGGCTCCTCACTTATTACATATTTGCCCCTTCATTTATTACATAATTACATTTGAGTCCTCAAGTACTTATATGAGTTATAAATACGAATGCCCTAAATATGGTACAAACACCTTCAATATACCTAGATTTACAGGGTTATATATCTAGCCCAATACTGAGCCAAAACGACACCATAATTTATAAGGATAATCTTTGTTGCAATATGTTATTAAAAAGCATTTATTAGACCGTTAATTTGGGTCACACATGCATTGAAATGAGAAATATTTATTTAGTGGTCTAAATTAACGTTAATAGTGTGATAAAAGGAAGTTTATACAACTCTTTCAAAAGATTTTTACAATCTTTGCATATCTGAATTATAAATATGGATCTGCTAACAGTATGCATATGTTGGTCTCATATCATGTTGAAAATTCAATAAGGATCAACATATATATTCCCCACTTCGTATGAAATATTATTAAACATGAGACACAATATTAAATAATAATTGCTATTATGCTATCAAGTTGGACTTTAAGGGAAAAACCTGAAATCAATTAGTTCGTGATATGTTTCTTTTGTGTTATATATTTTTAATTGCAAAATAATGGATGCTTGGACAGTCGGTGGTCATCAGATTAATACGACCAGAGTCTTGTTTTCTTCTGCTAGGGAGCAGTTTATTTGCTTCTTCTTTTTTTTTTTTTCCTTTTAGTTGCAAAAGTTTATTTATTTGGTTTTTGCTCAAATTTATTTGTTTATTTATAGTGCGTATATAATCTGAACGAATTATTCTCTTTCTTTGGTTGGGAAATTTTTGAAAAGGTTGAAAATCCTAGGTCAGAGGAAAATCCACTCAACAGCTCCAAGTGTGGCCACTCTTTATTTAGTTAATTAAGCTGCTCAAATCAGTTTATTAGATCAACCTGCAGAATGTGTTCTTCTTCCTTAGATAAGACATATTCAATTTTTAATAGTGTTAGAGACACCAACTTTTAAGATGTCTATTGTTTAGTTAGTATTTCATTTGTTTTCTGTTTGGACCTATTTTGAAACTTATTTATTCATAATATATAAGAAATTCAGCGTCATCAAAATTAATGTCAACTATCATTAATAAAAAAAACTAAAACTTGGTAAGACGGATTTAAGTGTGATGTAAGACGAGCATTGAGAGTAATCCAATAGGAATCAAAGAAAAACTTGGGAATGAAGAATTTTGTTCATTTAAATTAAGGAAAAGTATAAAAAATAAATAAATAGATAACTTCCATGTCTAGTGCCTAGCAAAAGGACATGGACACAACTACTAGTGTAGACTCCAAAAGTTGGAAAAGGAAACGGCCATAACGTTTTCATCGACGACGAAGGGAACCATAAGAAACAATAGCAACGCGGTGTTGTCTCAACCTCTTTTATTATCGTCTTCAAAACCCACTTGTAATTATTTCTTATCAAATCGATCGAGTTCTTTTTAATCTCTTCTCCCTTCTCTCATAACATTCCCTTTCCTCTCCCTCTCCCTCTCCCTCTCCCTCTCACTCTATATGCCTTTGAATTTCTAAGCATGGACTCGGACCCACCATTTCGCAAGGCCTACAAGACCCTTTTCGACAACACCGTCAACAAAGCCAACAACATCAGCAACAACAAGGAGGAGGTGATACAACAGTTTGTTACAGTGGAGGAATGTGAACTGCCGCTGATTGATCTTGGGCGGCTGGAGCTCGGAGAAAAGGAGAGGGAGAAGTGCATGACGGAAATAGCTAGGGCATCGCAAGAGTGGGGTTTCTTTCAGGTAGTGAATCATGGGATTTCAGGAGGGCTTCTTCAGAAGATGAAGAGTGAGCAAGAGAAGGTATTCAAGCAATCTTTTGATAAGAAGAGGCAAGAGGACAAGCACTTGAACTTTTCACCGGGAACTTATCGTTGGGGAACTCCTTCTGCCACATGCCTACGGCAGTTAGCATGGTCTGAAGCTTTTCACATTCCACTCAACGACATTTCTGCTACATCAGCTTCTGGTCTCAACCATACACTCAGGTAAAAATTTACAAACTTTCAGGTTCATGAATTGTACATCTTTGGAGTCTCAATAGTACCGTACCAATCCACTAATACCATAGGAATAATCGATCAAATAAACAAGTGATATTCTTACAGAAATTATGCACTATACCCTATTAGAATCACTGATTATTAATTTTTTTTATCAACCAAGGTGGAGAATTAACTGATAAATTATTGAATGTGTGACAATTTCTAATATAAAAAAGAGAAGTATTACCGATTTACCGGACCAAATAGTAGTGTCATACACTAGTCTAGAGGTCTCAGATTTGAACCTGGCCAAATGCATACAATATTCTGATAAATTTTTGCACAAAAAATATATATACACCGAAGGAAGTTAAAGTTCCAATCGCAAAAGTAATTGGCAACCGAAAAAGTGACCCACAGGTTGTAACTCCTTGCAAGTTTTCTTATCTTTATAATTTACATTGACCAAAAATACTTTCAGATGTACAGTAAATGTTCTTCAAGTCCTCACCTCACATCTATATGATCTTGTAGTTTTCTTGAGTCTGATTTTTGCATACTCATGAATCCCATAGAAATTGGAAAAGTTGATGAAACCGACTGCTCAGTAGCTATGAGTCAGCTTCTGCATCACATGCAGTCGTTTATGAACCACAAACTAAGTTTCAGAGAACTTTGCATGTGATTCAGTACTTCTTCCAAATTTCCAGCAGCTTCATACATATACATACATACATACATACATACATACATACATACATATATACAGTGTGCAGTGTATCTTTTTTGTTCTAGATCGATCTAGCATTGTACCCAGAAATGAATTGCTTCCCTGTCATGGACAAATTACAGATATATATTTGCTGTCATAGTTATCCTACCTTTACTTCTTCTTCTTGTAGAGTTAATTATTAATGCAATTAAACTAATTATATTTTTTTACTCCTACAGTTTTTACTATCAAATTAACCTGAGAAGTGAAACCCCTGTACGTAGTGCATGCATGGCCCCTCTCTCGTATAATACCTTGATCAGTTCTTGCAACTTATTAAAAAAATTAATAAATTTCTGCTTCATGTTGCTATAATAGTAAATAATTAACAGTTCATCTTTAGAAGTGATCATTAATCATTTTCGGTACCATTTGTGCAAGATTGAATTAATAATTTGGCACTAATGATTTAATTGGGAACTAAGTCAATTTCTCCAATTATATTTGCATGTATCCAGCTCAACAATGGAACAATTTGCTACAACAGTTTCAAGTTTGGCACTGAAATTGGCTGAAATTTTGGCGGAGAAATTAGGTCACAAGTCAACATTTTTCCTAGAAAATTGTTTGCCCAGCACTTGCTATCTTCGAATGAACCGATATCCGCCTTGCCCCATCCCTTCTGAGGTGTTTGGATTGATGCCACACACTGATAGTGATTTCCTTACAATATTGCACCAAGACCAGGTTGGAGGATTGCAGTTGATCAAAGACGATAGATGGATCGCAGTTAAACCTAATCCAGAAGCTCTAATCATTAACATTGGAGATCTATTTCAGGTAATTTTAAATTTTTTATTCACATCATTATGATATTTCAAACATGTATACTGGATCATGTCTGCAATCATATAAACAGGGCACGTTTAGGAACACTATGTAGGAAGTGCTTTTTATTCATAAATGATTCTTGTTAGAAACGATTTTGTAAAAGGTGCTTTTTCAATCTATAAGGCTTTACGGCTTACTTGGAAGTGCTTTTTAAGTAACTAAAAGTGCTTCCATATTACCAAAAGTGTTCTTGACAGTATTTGGGAGAAAAAACTCAAAGTGCTTATGGGTTTAAAAATAGCACTTCATAGTGGTTTATTGGAATAAGCACTGCTTTGTATTTTTTTTATGAGGCACTTCAAGGGTTTTTCAAGATTGCACTTGTATATTTTAATTACAAATTTCGATATACTTCTTTATATAAAACGCTTTTACTAGGAAGCGATTATAAGCACCAATGCTTTTAATTATCTAAAAACGAAGTTTAGATGACAACACAAGATCCTTTTTTATGTAAATAATAAAAGTTACTTGTTTCATTATCTCATTAGTTTTATTGTTTTCTTCTTTGTCTAGCTAGGCATGGAGCAACAATGTGTACAAGAGTGTTCAACATCGAGTTGTCACGAATTTGCAAGTGGAACGATTCTCAACCGCATATTTCTTATGTCCTTCATATGACACCGTGATACAGAGTTGCAGGGAGCCTTCTGTCTATAGAAAATTCAGCTTTGGGGAGTATAGGCGGCAAGTCCAAGAGGATGTTCAAAAATTGGGTTCAAAAATTGGTCTTCCGAGATTTGTCGTATAATTAGTAATTAATTAAACCACTACAGAAGAATTCTACTAGTAAATTATTAAGCTATTTCTAGATATATATGCGGGGGATAATTGATATATTTAAAAATGTTATGCACAATTAAGCTAAGCTTCGAAAAAATATGGAGTACTTGGAGTTAAAGGAAGACTTGGCGCAAAATCGAGCGGAGTGACGTTCTAAGATTCATACAACCGACCCTATTTAGTGAAATATGACTTGGTTGTTGTTGTTGTTGTTATAGTATAATTAAGCCTTCATATATATATATATATATATTTTTTTTTTTTTTGTTTTTGTTTTTGTTTTTGTAAGCATAGTTTTGTATTAGAAATAGAAATTAAGGTGGTATAGCAGTTCGGTATAGTTAAGGGTTTTCCTTTGTTTGCTGCAAACAATTAAGGGTTTATGTTAGCCAAAATAATTAGACGATTTGTTTGGATCGATCATTGTAAGTTGGGATAATGAGAATGTAAGGATCGATCAATGATGCTACCAATGTTGCCAATCTTTTCTTAGGTTCATGCATTACAATTATGTAGTCTTTATTTTGCATTTATGCAGCACCTAGCCATATAAGGGAGGCTTGTTCCCTTAACTTTTTGGTATTCCAATAATTAGTTTACAGACCATCTTAAGTTCTCTCATTGAAGAGTGCTAATTTCCTTGTGGATTCAAGGCTTCCTAGTAGAATACGAAGATATTCTTCTAGTTTCCACTTCTGTTCTACATCACCTCTCTAACCCAAGTTTCCTTGGCAAAGATCATGGAATATGAGGGGCGCTTGTGCATCAGGTGAATCAAAATCACCCGGTAGCTTCCCATCCGTCGAATCAAAGGGTTCTTTGGGCATTACAGGGCACATGGTTAATATATATAGTTTTGCAACTATTAACGGTAGAAATGCAATGTTCTTGACAGGCGATGTTGTAGATAGGTGTTTTAAGATTAATAATCAAATTTTATTTTTCGGATTAAAAGATGGGCTTGTAATCAGTAAGAGTTCCATTATGATGTTGTAGATAGGGAGTTGTACAGCTCTCCTGACTAGCACAGATTCACATGCATATGGTCCAAATTGAGAAATATTACCGTGTCTAATATGTATAGGAAAAATTCTCTAACATGACAGACAAATCTATTGTTATCTAAATTTTCAGGTATATGTTTTAAACTCTTTTTGTAACCAACCAACCGCCTACAAATATTCATGCCCTTCAACTTGTTAGGGGGAGTGACTGAAAGTGAGTTGAGGGATAAATCAAATGCGGTAAACTTTAGTTGGTTGCAAAAAGAGTTTGAACATGTACCTGAAAATGTAGATTCCAACAGATTTGTTTGTCATGTTAGAGGATTTGTACTCTACATAATATTTTCATATTTAGAACATATATGCACATTAATCTTTGCTACTTGGGAGAGCAGTGCAACTCCCTATCTACAACATTATAGTGCATCTCCGACAGATTAAAAACACATCTTCTAATCCGAAAAATAAATTTTGATTATTAATCTTAAAAGACCTATCTATAATATCATAATGTCTGACAAGAGCATCTAGCATGCTATTATCATGGGCATTTCTACCGTAAATAGTTACTAAACTACATATATTATCCAACTCCGTGGGGTGCGTTTGGTACGCAGACGGGACGGGACGGGACGGAACGAAGGTGTAATTTTTGAAAAAGACATGGGGTATATTTGTCTTAAAATGGTAAAACATTGTGTTCCACATACGTGGAACAAACCCGTTCCAGGGGAGGGAGGTGGAACGCAAAAACACCCAAAATCTGTCCCGTGGAACAGCCCGTTCCACCCATTTTTAGCGCACCAAACGCGGGACGGAACGCTTCGTCCCGTTCCGTCCCGTCCCGTCCCGCGTACCAAACGCACCCCTAATGCCCCAAAAACCATTTGGTCCACTCTCCACTGGAACAATTTACACAACTTTTCACGAGACCCAATCATTCTGCAAACAAAACAATTTAAACGTATGCCTATAAATTACCAAAGTTTGAATGTGCAAGAACAATAACAATGTCAATAACAGACCACATTCAAAAGTTCATTTCACATTCATTATCATACTTTCCTAACTAAACTAATCTAATTAAAGTAAGCATTGCAAATGACTGAAACCTCAAGCTGCACATATGAAAATTATTCATCAGATCAAACTATCAATTGCACTCAAAGGCGGTAACATGCTACCTTGTTCATTTCACGACCTACATAACAGATCACAACAATAACGGATAGGCCAAAAAGCAAAACTGAGGATGAAGTTCATTGATATATTCATCTAACTACGTCAATAGATGCAGAAATCCAACTCAGTAATAAAACCCTATCCATTTCACGACCTGTAGATCCACTATTTCTATACGGTAATAAGAAATTACTTATTTCGGCGAGTTGAGGTGGCTGTCGAGTGTCGAGACGGCGAGAGCCGAGAGGAGGTCCTCGTCCTATGAGACAGAGAACGGCGCGGGGGAGACAAGTGCACCTTACAAATGGAAAAAATGCTTCTTTTTGAAAAAAACAAACAAAAACTAATGAAAAGGATTTGAAAACTTTGAGTTTTAACGATAAGGACAAAATAAAGGGTAAAGTAAATAGTAACATGTTTGACTTTTTAGTGTAAAAATGTGGTTTTTCGTTAAAGTGAACAATACCGCGGGCTTTTCGTTAAAACTCCCTTTAAAAAACCCTAGCCATCCCAAAAACTCACTATTCATATTTAGACAGGTTTGCACTCTAACTTTGGATTTGAGGCACGAAACAGGTAAAAACACGAGTGATTCTCTTGTTGAAAGTTTGAGAAAATGTGTGTCATTTGATTGTGGTCAAGGATAGACTGAAATGCCTATAGCCTTTCTGCGAGATACCTTAGACTTTGACCAAGATGTAGCCTTAGGATGCGAGATACCTTAGACTTTGACCAATATATATATATATATATATATATATATATATTAGGCGCATGTGGGGGAAGGGGGTGTTTTGACTAAATCTCTACCGCGTAGCACGTGTTTCCCCTCCTCTTTTTATTCCAACTCTCACAAAACAGAAAGTCTTATTGGCTTGGTTTGCCATTTTAATGGTAGTCATGAGCATTGCAACTTGTGAGATTTAGTTTGCAAAACCTCAATTTCAATTGGTTGTATATTTTTCAGTGTCTCTAGTTGTGAGAGTTTTTTGTTTGCTTTAGTCTACATATATGGCATTATAACGTTGTGTGATCAATCTGCATTGGTATTCAATGTTCATCCTTTTTGTTCGTAAATATTTTCATATCTTTAAACTTTGTATTATTATTCGTACAAATGTTATTTTTGGATTTAGCGAAAATTTCACACTTATTCGATGATACGTTTGTTCTTTGTATCAAAGTTTTTGAAATGTATGTCTAAATAAGTAAAAGAGAAGTACTAAGGTAACTCTCGCAAAAATATGATTTTTCATAAATTATCTGACACCTTGTAATTTAGCAACAAATCATATACCAACATATAAAAATTACGTCAAAAATGTGAAGTTGCAGAAAATCCACGAAGACTTTCTTAACATCCCTCAAGTGAAAAATGGAATCGCCAAAAATACCAAGAAAACAAAAAACAAAGTCGCGATCAAACCAAGCCAACTCTTACACAGCGACACGTCGTTTAATCACCCATGAGTGTATGCAAATCCAACGGCTAACATTTTTTGAAATCCAGATCTGTTGACTTAAATAATATTTTGGTTATCAAGCGCTCCAACCCTCGGGAATCCATTATCAGAGAAATCCAGAGCTCCGTCGGAACCATGGCGCCACCGGCAGCGATTCGGTGGTTCTCGGTCGTTTTAGCTCTAATGCTGTGCTATCTCATCACTCCGTCAACGGCCATATACTGCGACGAGGACGACTGCTACGATCTCCTCGGGTCAGTTAAGTTCCCTCACGATTTTCCCTTTGATTCCCGAATTACCCCTCTATTGGTTGCATATTTACCCAACGTTTCAATTCCTTGTCCAGGGTTACGCAGAGCGCCAACTCGTCGGAAATCAAGAAAGCTTACTACAAACTCTCATTGAAACAGTGAGTCCCCGCCATTTTTTCTCTGTAAAATTACTCTACAATTTGATATGAAGTCAATATTTTGATCATATCTATTCACATTTTGGTGTTGAATTTTCAGTCACCCGGATAAAAACCCGGATCCGGAATCGAAAAAGCTGTTTGTGAAAATTGCCAATGCCTATGAGGTACTTGGGATCATGTAATTTTGTGGAAAAAGATGGGAACTTTTGAAGGTTTTGTTGCTGTCTTGTGCTATTGATAATGAAGTTTAATTGCTGCATTGCAGATTCTGAAAGACGAGGCGTCGCGGGAGCAGTATGATTATGCCATTGCACATCCAGAGGAGGTAAAATGAACAAACTATTTAGTTAGCAATGCATTGAGTTATAGGCTGAAAAGTGGATTCTTTTTAGACTTGAGAATCGAGATTACACGAAACAAGAACATTCTTGTTAGTATGGTGCTGTACCTGTATGGTTAAATTTAGATTGGTAATTTGAGTTCTTTGAACTGAGATGTTTGTGAAAGATAATAACTTTATCATGTTTTTTACTTGTTAGGTATTTTACAATACTGCTCGCTACTATCAAGCATATTATGGTCACAAAACGGTGGGAGACTTTTATTTTTTTGGATTATAACTTCATATTCTGCCCGCTCTGAAGCAGCTTTGTAGTTGCTAGGTGCAGCTCCAATTCCATGTACTTATTTCTAAAGCTGTTTATATGTTCACCTTCTAGGATCCTCGTGCTGTCCTGGTTGGCCTTCTTTTGGTTCTTTCCTCATTTCAGTATCTGAATCAGTGGACAAGGTATAATCAGGTACCGTCGCAAATCAATAAAATTCCTACAAGACATTATATGTGTTGATTTGTGGATATCAGTGTATTTAAAAAAAAAAACTTGCGCAACATGCCATTGTTACTCTTGCGCTGACAGTTAATTTCACTTCCTCATATAGGTTTTATCAGTCTTTTGTTCTTGTACTTTGAGACTATAGTATAGAAATTGCAATGCTAAAGGTCTGTACTACAATAAGGTTACGTGCGTACTCTGGTGGATTCATACAGACTTAGTCATACACATCATTTGTTTTATGACTCAGAAGCCTGGAAAAGGTTCTTTTCTGTGACGTTGATTTTCCATGCTTTTGTAGGCTGTAGACATGGTTAAGAAGACCCCTGCTTACAAAAATAGACTACGGGCTTTGGAACTTGAGCGTAGTGGAGGGACTACAAATAAGAAAAAGAGCAACAGGCAGATGAACAAGTATGATCTTCTAGTCATTTTCAAAGAGAAATAATGAAATGCGTTGTGAAAAGTTGGAAATTTTCCGTAAGGAATAATCAATTGTGTATAGAACTGCATTTTATGATTGTGAAATTGTCTTTAAAAAAGGTGGATGTTTTTTTCTTCATAGGAAAGTGGAAGAAGATCTCGGCAGCGAACTGGAGCTGCAGATTAATGGAGCGGAGCAACCCTCCATGTGGGATCTTCTTGGTGTTCGTTTCATACTCCTTCCCTACACTATTGGCAAGGTTAGAGTTCCCTTCATGTCATTCAAGAAATGCTGAGATTATAGGTTGAAGTCGGGGATTTTACATTGATTATTACATGGACTACCAATTAGTCTGTTGATTCAGCTTTACCAATTAGTCTGTTGATTCAGCTATTATTATGGTGTGGCTGTTGGTTCTGGAGATACAAGGTGAAAAAGGCACCATATACATGGGATGATGCCTCCTACCTGACACGAAAATCCCTTGGTGCGCCTATTGATGGATGGAGAAATCTAGGTAAATCAACGTTAAATTTTAATGATTTTTTTTCTTTTCTTCTAAAGGCATTATGAATTTGGCTCAGGTTACCAACTTTAGATACATTAGATCACCACCCATTCATACGAGAACCAACCTTGTTTTGCTTTAGCCATCCACCATGAACTTTTGGCTTTACAAAATCTTCCATTCAAGACGCGACAACCTTAGAAAAAACTGTTCCCGATCCTCAAGCTGAAGGGGATAATCAAGTCCCTTAATGGAAAACTATTAAATTAATTACCGTTTTGAATTTTGAGTTCGAGAGTCTACATACACACCTACATCCCGGAGGTTCTTCATAACTTATTACTCATTGGTTTGTTTTGTCAGATGAATCAAGAAAGGAAGATCTTATTCATAAACGTTTATGGGAGAAAGCAAACTTGCAGAGCTACCTTGCGGATATGCGCAAAGAATCCAAGCGGAGAAGATAGCAAATTTTGTCGCCAATGCTACCTTATGTTCGCAAAATACTGACAAGAAAATTAGACCAAAACACGAAAGAGTCGACCTATATTTTTGTTGAAATAGCTGAGTGGCGGAGGCGGAACATTAAGATTGTTACTTGCAAATCGCAACCTTGGCAAATTGTATTTTGTAACCTTTAATACACGAAGTTATAAGTTATATGGATTATTGTGTATATGAGACTTTGAGGCAAAAGCACTTTTACCTTCTGAATTCCATTTGATGGTCATTGTAAGAGTTACTGAAATTCTGTAATATCCTTTCATCATGGATACTCAAATTGACAATCAAATATAGGGAGAGACAAATTTCAAAAGTTGAAGGAAGTAACAAATAGCTTCTCTCAAAGTGCACTCTGTTTGCAAATTGTCGCTTGCGGTTTTGCAGACAAATTACAATTTGACATAAGTGCACAACTATAAGAAGGGTAGTACTATCCACACACTTTTCTTAATTTTCGATTGTCGGATTGAACGAATAAAAGAAAATAAATAATCAAAAACTATCAAACATGTGTGAGAGGTAAAAATAAATGTGTCGATAACTCTTTTCGTATAAGAATTGGATCAAAGTTCTAAGTGGCTCAAAATCCACACGAATGCATGATCTAGTGTGTACACAATTAATCTTGGTGCGCCAGACTTGTGACCAAAGAAATGCTGAAATGTCTCTGTGAGTCTTACGATCTTTTTGGGATGGATAACCGTGACTTGTTCCCCTTTTTTAAAAGAAAAAAAGTTAAATAAAATAGGGGTGGGCACTTAGAACCGAAAATCGAAACCAAAACACGAACCAAATCGAACCGCACCGAACGGTTTGGTTTTGCAGTTTTGAAACCAAACTGCAACATAGAAAATGATTTGGTTTCAGTTTTGGCTTTTGAAAACCACACCGAAACCGAACCGCACCGCAAATATTAATAAACATTTAATTAAATGTCCATATTATATTTCATGTTTTAATTGGTTGTTTGTTAGAATCCATACACTTAGTATAGGACTCAACAACACTAGAATATCATCATTCATCACTTTCTTTTGTTCATTAACTTGAAGGACCTTTGTTATTTTATACCATCACACACACATATATGTACAAGGGTGGACTAATCTTGTTATCAATAGTCGAACAATGATCTAATAAAGTTCCCTAATTTGAAGCATGATATCACATATTCTAGTATCAAAGTTTCGCTCATGTTTAATTAATTCAAATTTATTCAACTTGTTTTATGATAAACATTGTAAGGGACACCATTTTGTTGCACAAATATGTTTTAACATCACAACTACATGCAACATGCTAATTGTTTACATAATAAATGTCTTTTTCCTATTGCTATTGGAAAATGCTTATTGATATGTTAAATTGCAAATTGTACTTTTTTTCTTAAAAACCAAACCGAAACAGTTTGAACCGCATCGAACCGAACCAAACAGTTTGGTTTCATTTCAATTTTAACTTCAAAACCACACCGAACCGAACTGCAAAAAATTTCAATTTCACTTTCGGTTTCACTCAAAACCACACGGTACCAAACCGTGCCGACCCCTAAAAATGTAGAGCCCAAATAGAACTCATCAGTCGTGTGATCAAAATCCGTCAACGGAAAACTGCCGTAAGCTGCCTCCAAATTTGCCCACAGTCCACTCCTGCTCCTCAGAGTCCTTCTTCCCCACCGAGGGAGAAACTCTTCCCCTCAAAAGCTCGAAACTTTTCCCACTTCTCATGCACCCAAACATTCCCCAATGGCTCACCGTCTGGTACCTTTCTTCCCTTTTTGCCCGTCTCCAATTCCCACTTCTCAATTTCCAATCTTTTTTTTCTTACTGATTTTTGTATGTTTATGTTTGTTCTGTGCTGCTGTGTAGATGGGATATTTGGTTCCTCTCAATGCCAAGCTAGAAGAAGACACTTCACTCCCCAAAATGCCCCTCTCCCGAGGCCCGAATTACATCGGCCGCAACACCACCGCTTCCCTCTCCGACAAACGACTCAGCCGGAAGCACCTCGCTCTCACTATCGATGCTAGTGATTCCGCCGTTTTGGTCGTGGTAATTCGTAATTCAAACGTCCAATGAGTCCACTTTTTGAACTTTGATGGCCTTACGAGTTACTGGTTTATATATTGAAATATAAAGTTGTGAACTTTGAATTGAATGAATGTAAATTGTAGGAGGGGACAAATCCCATTGTTGTGAAATCCGGGAGTAACAGGAAGAAATTGTTTCCGAAAGAAAATGCAACGATACGCAATGGTGATGTTATAGAGCTGATTCCGGGGCATTTTCTTTTCGAGTATAAGACATTGTCTGATAATGAAAATGGAAATAATGTGCGTGTTGTCTGTGACCATAAGAGGGGATCAAATGATGGTGGAAAGGCTGTTGAAGTTGAAGAGTTGACTCGAAAGAGGCCACGTCAACTAGTGTCTCAAGATAAAGGTTCTGAGAGGAGTTTTAAGGTGTTGCTCTTTTGAATTTAAGCAGCTTGAAGTAAATAGTTGTTGATGATAGTCGAAACTGTGATTTTAAGAGGTGAATAAATGCCTGTCTTTCTTGAATTTGAAGGCTGAGGTGGAAGGAAGCAGCTCGGGTGCTGATAGAGACGGTGGCAGTGTGGAGACCATACGCCATTTTCGTGTTCCTAATGATAAATTACCACAGACCTTTCGGCTTTTGAATGTGCAGGGACTCCCCCCATGGGCAAATACCTCTTGTGTTTCTGTAAGGGATTTGATTCAGGTAACGGTTGTCCCCTGCTGTATGGTTCATGTTGCATGTTACATGCATGAATCATGTTGCAAGGCTGTGTAATACGTTATAAGGTATGCGCAGCCGAAGTTCATATTCAGCATGCAAAAATTCTGGAAGAGATTGACTGTCTTATGAATGTTTGATTTTGGATGGGAGTTTAATTATTGCCTTCTTCTTTCATAGGGGGACATTCTCGTTGCTATCCTTTCCAATTACATGGTAGACATTGATTGGTTGATCCCTGGTATGTTCATTTCACTTTGATTGTGTTTCCTGTTAAAATATTGGTCCTTTTCCATATGTAAACCAAACATGTATGTTACTTAATACTTCACAAATGTATGTATGTGTAAGAATGTCTCAATTATATCTACAGCAGGACAAGCCTTTCATGTTTGAAAGGTGTTTCTTACCCCAATGCTCTTTCATTACAGTTTTTACGGTTATTATGTGTATATTCTGAATCTGGTTAATGGTATATTATTGTTGTGTCATGCATAAGCTATCCTAATTGGTTCTGATTGTGTTTTTTTCCCTCCTCACTTTAGCATGCCCGTCAATTGCCAAAGTTCCACATGTGTTGGTTATTCATGGCGAGGGTGATGGTACACTGGATTACATGAAGGTTTGCTTTGGGTCTATTCTTCTTAATCTCTGTCAATGTAATGCTTTTTGACCTTTTCCCATTTACATGACTTTAAGCTATTACCTGAAATTTTCAGAGAAAGAAGCCTGCGAACTGGATTCTACACAAACCACCATTGCCCATTTCCTTTGGTACACACCATTCAAAGGCCATGATTCTTGTTTATCCTCGAGGAGTGAGAATCATTGTACATACAGCAAACTATATACATGTTGACTGGAACAACAAAAGCCAAGGTTTGTGGATGCAAGACTTTCCCTGGAAAGATCAAAATAATCCAAGCAAAGGATGTGGATTCGAAAGTGACTTAATCGATTATCTCAGTGCACTGAAGGTATAAATATAACAATCCTTGAGGTTGATTTGGTTGGTTTTATGTATTTATTTATCGTTTTGGTTTGCTTCCTTTCATTATCTTGTATATCTAGTTTCAAGATGTCTTGCCTATAGTGCCAATGAGAGTATGAAATTGATGTTATTGGTTGGATGTCAACAGTGGCCTGAGTTTTCAGTTAATTTTCCTAATCTGGGTAGCTTCAAGATCAATCCGTCATTTTTCAAGAAGTTTGATTACAGCGATGCAGCAGTATGTTTTCTATTCCTTGAAATATTTAGGTTTTTGTTTTGTCTGGGATAGTATAATGTCAAAGTTAGTATCTGCGGCTGTGTGTAATTTTCAGGTGAGGCTAATTGCATCTGTCCCTGGATATCATACGGGTAACAACATGAAAAAGTGGGGGCATATGAAGCTTCGCACTGTTCTTCAGGAGTGTATTTTTGATAAAGAGTTTCGGAAATCTCCTCTTGCTTATCAGGTACGGTGACACAGCTGCTTGACTCTTTTACCGGCAGTTATGATGATGGATGTCAATGCTGAATGTTTTTCTTTGATTAGTTGCAGTAATTGAGCAATATGTTTATTGCAAATTTACAAGATTCTGGACCTAGTGGGTGTATATTTATTACATTTGATTTCTCCGTATTGGGGATTCTGGCCATGGGAATTTTGTTTGGTTTATAAAACGAAGATATATAGAACGAAATTGTGATTCAAGGGGTAAAGTTTATGCTAATGAATGCTTCACTCAGTGGAGTGTAATTATTAAAAATAGTGATAGTTTCAAAGAAATTCTATTTATGTATCCTTACCTTTGCAGTTCTCCTCCCTGGGTTCTTTGGACGAGAAGTGGATGGCTGAGTTTGCGTCTTCAATGTCATCAGGCTTATCGGAAGATAGAACTCCTCTTGGTCCTGGGGAGCCACTCATAATATGGCCTACAGTAGAAGATGTCAGATGTTCTTTAGAGGTACTATTGAGTAGGCCATTCTTGTGAACTATTTCTTGTAGACCTTGTTTTACTATTAAAGTCAAAAGACCTTGTGTGGATAAACCTTGATAGATCTCATGTAGTGGTCAGGGTCATGTATCATGAAAATTACCTCAAAACAGTTGAAAAGTTGGATATACTTAGACGAGATTCGTTAAAAGTAGTAATTGAGCATTAGCATACAGCAATAGAATCATCCCGTCTATCATGTGGTCTTTGGGTGTACATTGTGATTCTGCATCCTGGTTTCATTTGTTGTTCTTTTATTGGTTTTTCCAGGGCTATGCAGCTGGAAATGCCATTCCTAGTCCACTAAAGAATGTGGAGAAAGACTTCTTGAAAAAGTACTGGGCTAAATGGAGAGCAAGCCATACCGGCCGCTGGTCTCTTTCTCCTACCTTTCCATTGAAATCTTTGACTCTGAGATGTTTAGTTGGAAAAACTTGTTACTTCTTTATTTTTCAATTTACCATAAACCTATAAATTGATTTACAGTTGTGCCTTTTCATTTCAGTCGTGCAATGCCACATATAAAAACATTCGCGCGTTATAATGGTCAGAAACTTGCGTAAGATTTTGGAATTTGGATCCTATTGATTGTGTTTTCTCGGTTTTATGTTTAAAAATATTTAGTACCGTACCCAGAGTCATACTAGATTTGAGCACTAACTGTGAGTTTCTACATTTTCCCGACAGCTGGTTTTTGCTAACTTCAGCAAATCTTAGCAAGGCTGCCTGGGGAGCTCTCCAGAAGAACAACTCACAGTTGATGATCCGTTCTTATGAGGTAGGTTTGCCTGAATCATATCATCTACAACACAGACTTGATATCAATACAAGCGAAAATGATTCCTTTCATTTGCTCAGTTAATACATTATTGCTTTAGCTTACTTGAGATGTTCTTCCAGCAAGAAATTTGTCAACTTTTCAAATGCAAATTACAACCGGTCTAATCAATACAAGGACCTAATGTGTGTCGATATGTTGAATGATATGTGTCGTTTTATATATTTCTCTTATGTATTTTGCTTCATCATCTGCTCCTGTCAAAGCTTTTCTGATGTATGTTTATTTACTTTGTGTGGCTCATTACAGCTGGGAATTCTATTTCTACCACGTAAAACATGCAGTTTTGGGTTTTCTTGTACGAGTAATGGGGTTCCATCCAAGGTAATAGCTACACCCTGGCCATTTTACGCACGTTACATAAATAGTTATTGAGTATCACACTTGCGTTGTTAAGATAGGAAGGAAGGGGAACATAAATGGAGCAGAAACATGTTAATTCCGTTGAGTTTCAGGATAAATCTGGAAGGTCAGAAACTTCTGAAGCATCGAGAACAACACTCGTGACTCTGAACTGGCAAGGAAACAGGAATACAGATTCATCATCTGAAGTAATTAAATTGCCTGTGCCTTATGAACTCCCTCCTCAGCCATACACCGCGGAAGGTAGTCCGTTCTTAAATTTATTCCTTTTCCGTTCCCATCTTCCATTCATCTTATTTCTTTTTATCTCTTCGGCAGATGTGCCTTGGTCTTGGGACCGGCGGTATAACAAGAAAGACGTTTACGGTCAAGTTTGGCCGCGACATGTTCAGCTGTATGCTGCTCAGGACTCGTGAAACTCTTGTGTGTACTTGACAGCCATGTACTTACAATCTTTTCTCAGCTCTTCAAAATTCGAGCATACTGAGCTTTTTTTTTCCCTCATTTTTATGAGGCTGGAGATATATTCTTTCAGTGTGATGGTCAAACCGCCACGTGTGAATCTCACGCCCCGGACTGGTTGTAGGGGTAGTTCAGTTGTTTCCTTTTGGGCTTCTGCCCCACGTTCTCACAAGAAATGGTAAAAGCTTCGGCTTCGATATGTTCTTTTTGTTTTTTTTATAAACACGTTCTTAATCTGGTATCCGAGGAAATACTTGGGTCCTGACCAGTCAAGTTCCATATTCTTATCCAACGAAATGAGGCATACGGGGTCCTGATTGTTCACGTCATTCACATGGTTATGATTCTAATGGAAAAGACGTCACTCATGAGAGATTTTTCAGTGTGACCGGAATATGAGGTGGTACACCATGTGTGATAAGATGTGTGTATTAAAAAGTTAATAACTTTAAAAATAAAATTTACCACCACTTATATATAACATGTGGTGTACCAGTCGTGTTCCGATCACAATGAAAAAAATATCGTCACTCAGATCTTGCATTGGATGAATCAATGTAATTGAGCACCGTAAAAGTAAAAGACTGGTCATAAAGTCGGAGAAAGTCTCGCATTCATCTAATGCAATCTAGCAAGCAATCTTGGACAATCGTTTTGATGAACCTTTCAGTTTAAATTTTGGATTTCCGTTATTACTTTAAAAAAAAATATCAAAAGTAGTTACTAAACGAATTTTAATTTAAAAGAAAAAGAAAAATCAAAATGACTATTAGATGGCGCCGTTGAATAATTTTCAAAGCAAATCTAATCAAAACTAATTTTTTGGATTTAATTCTAATCCGATGCTCAAGATCGAGATCCTTGTAACAGATACCCACAAACATTTGAAAATTGAAACATTAAAACCTGAAAATCAGTGAAGATCACATGGTAAATGGATAACAATCCTTTGACTCTTTCTCATTAATCCAGAAAATTTGAACCCCTTTCAGATTTCACAACATGCAAATCGGATGCAGTTACAACACATTTATATCGTAATCTTTATACATGCACAAATTACACACATATATATACACACATACACAAATATATAAACATATATATATATATATTTATATATATCCAAAATCCTAGCTGAATTCTGATTCCTGGCAATGGATGTTATTTTTGAGCTCCAGAGAGGAAGATCCTTCACAATTGAAGTTGGTTATTTCGACACCGTTCTCGAGATCAAAGAGAAGGTTCAGAAATACCAAGGAATTCCCATTTCCCACCAAACCTTAATCTTCAACGGCCGAGTTCTCGATGACGAACGCAACATTGAATACTGCGACATCTACAACAATTCCCGCATCCAACTCCTCGTCGCATCTGAATTCGATAAACCGGTGAACAACAGTAATTGTAATAACAATGTGAAGGCTATGGAGGAGTACTGCCCTAAGAAAATCCAGCTCAACGTGAAGACCCCAACGTCCAAAATGCATGTCCCTATTGAAATGGACGTAAACGACACTGTCTCGAAGCTAAAAGAGAATATCCAAGCGATGGATCAGTCCATTCCACTTAATCGTTTGGTGGTTCATGCAGTTGGGAATGAGTTACATGATCATCGCTCGTTGCTCGAATGCGAGCTTTCGGACAATGCGGAGATAGAGGTGAGCTTGAGACCGTCACCAGCTCCTGCAACCAATGCGAGCTCACCCGTGTCAATGGGTGGGGCTGGAGTTGGCGGCGGAGGCGGAATGGGGTCCAAAAATAAGCTGAAGCTTATGGTCTTGACAAAGTGTGGGACGAAGAAGATTGCGGTGGAAGTGAACCCATTGGATAATGTAGGGGAATTGAGGAAGGAGCTGCAGAGGTTGCACCAAAGGCAAATGAACTTTCATCTGCCGCAAGAGAGCTATTTCTTCATCTATAAGCAGAATGTGATGGAGGACGACAGGTCGTTTCGATGGCATCAAGTTGCGCAGGGTGATACTATAGAGATTTTTAATGGTAGCGTAACCGGTGGATCATAGATTAAGCTATTGAGCTACAACATTTTTCATTTTGTTAGCATGATTTTTAATTAATTTTTTTTTTAATTTGGAATAATTAGTGATGTGATTATATAAGTATGATTTTTCTAACCCCATCTTTTCCAAGTTGCTACCTAACTTGAGCCTGGAAAGTAACAGTGAATTAATCACATTTTTTTTTCTTGTTAGAAGAGGGACAAAGAAAACGTAGAATCAATAACTATCTTGATTGCATGTTTCACTTGGGAAATTACAGTTAACCTAAACAAGGATGACCGAAAATCATTAATCAACTACTAAATAAAATCAAGATAATCAACTGAGCGAGGATGACATTAGAATCTGAATCAAGCAATTTAATTTCCATGCTTAATGGTGAAAAATATACTTAGAATCAGCCAACGCACATGAGTTCATTACACGAAGCAGACACAAATAAAAAAAGTGAGAACAAGACTAACGTCAGCTTTGCCCGTTGGCGCAAGGCAGGACTTAAATTGCTCGAGCATTTGAGCGACTCTCGCATGCATCAATTGTTCTCTTCAAGATACACTTTGAGGTTGAAGGTCAATTTCCAAGTATCTCTTGACCAAAAGGAAATGCATTGGATACATCCAATATCGTCCCATGGTTGGTCCCAACAAAGGATCTAACCAAGCAAAGCCCCAGAATCGTATAAAAAAAAAAAAAAAAGACTCCAGCATCTTCTTCCAAGCACCTCAACGTCCAAATCCGCAGCCACCAAAAAAAGGAAACAAGTGAGAAAATACTTCTCACAAGCAACAGTGTCGAAACCGGCACACAGACTTGCTCTTAAAGTATCTCTTGACCAAAAGGAAATGCATTGGATACATCATACAAAGTTGGTCCCAACCCAACATAATAATTGCCCACTTTCATAAAATAAGAGCCACCCACCCCACTTGGAATACAATACTATGTTTTTTTTGGGTAAAAAGATTCCTTTCGGATCATTTCTTTCTAATCTAGTAAGTTCGGGGATCCATGCTATTAAAATTTGATCCAATTGCTACAAACAGATGTCTATTTTAAAAGTTATAATAATTTTAACCGTTGGATCAAATTTCAATAATCTGGATCTCCAGATTTAGTGGATGGAAGAAGGGATCCGGTGGCACCACCTCAATGGCTAATCTTGTTTAATACCTAATACTAAATTTTGCTCTGATTAATCGAAGGTCCTTGCAATACAAGCATACATCATATTCAATTGCTTTCAAAAATAAAATATAAATTTGTTTATCTTAAATTCTTAATCATGATAGTATTTATATTAGAAATACAATGCAAATGAAGTTTCAACACTTATAAACAACATCAAATGGTGCACAACCTTTTACACTAATATAAATGAAAGTTATAACTGGCGTGAAAAAAGCAGAGTCAGGATTTTCAAATAATTGATTCATGCTTTCGGTAAAAAAAAATTATTAGACATTTCGTCGAGCATTTATCCTACATGTCGATTCTTGGCAACATTTCTTAAAAATTTATGCCAATATGTGTCAAAAACTACTGTTACATGTAGAGTCGAATATGGCTATATAGAATTTACAGTGATATTAAGATTGACAAAACTTGTCAACGGAGCATTTCATCAAGTATTTAGTACGCACAATAGGTTAGATGGCCGTGGACAGAAAAGTATAAATACTCAATCTCGAAGTTAACGCCGTAAGGGCCCCGTGAATGAGTAAGTCATTTGAGATCACGGACTTCGATATTATCGAGAAAGGGTTTAGATACGAGAGAATTTTGAGTGTGATCATCATACAATGTGGTATATTAAGTTTTTTTATATAAATAGTGAGTTATGTGGGTTAAAAATTAATAACTTAAAAATTAAAATTTTCTACCTTGCATAAAAACAGGTGATGTACAATCCATATTAAAAATTTCTCGACTAGATACCAAGCTTTGCCGTTTAACCCGCGCCATCGGTACCTCCTTCCATCCACGTGTCGCTAAATAAGTGGACCTCCTCGTCACGCCAACTACATTTCCGTGACGAAGTCGCCTTCTCTATCCCTATAAATCCAGGCATCAGCCTCTCACCTTCCTCACAATTGCGATTGTTTTGCTTCTCAACAATCTGAAAAATCCTCCTCCAAGTCTCTCTCGAAGCTCCCCTCACCCTTTCAAGGTGTGTTCTTTTCCTCTTGTTTCTTGTTGATTTCTTGTTTGGTTGCTAGGAAAGTGTAGGAAAATTGGAGATTCTGTATTTGATTTGGTTGATGTTTGAGATTTATGATTAATCGGTTGGATCTGTTAAATTTAGCGTTGTTTTGGCTTTGATGTTAGGGTTTTTGACTATATTAATTTTATGTTCAATTTTCACGAATTAGGGGTTTTCTGTATTTTATCTTAATGATCAGCATGTCTTTTCGAATTGAAAGTAAATTTCTTTGTATCAATTTTGACAAGTAGGTTTTATTCTGTATCCGATATCAAAATTGAGATTTGTTAACGGTCAATTTAATTTTGGTATTTATTTTTATTCCAAAATTGAGTAATTTTAGACCAACATTGTGTCTTTGATCTGTGATTTTAAGTTGAAGCAGGGTTTTTTTTTCCTTTACCTGATTTCCTCAAATTCAATTTGCAATCTTGATCTTGAATTGATTTATTGTATATAAATGGCTGTTAATATTTTGTTTATATAAAAATTGGGATTTTCTTGAATAAAAATATTTCCTTTGATTTCTGATATATTAGTTTCCAAATTAGGGGTTTTTTAAATCTGATTTTCTTTATCTGTAATTCTTAATTTTGATCTAGAGGGATTTTTTTTTTAATTTTTTATAATTTTTTTTTATGCTTAAATCTTATGATATTTTGGTTTCTGTAGATGCAAATCTTCGTGAAAACTCTTACCGGCAAGACCATCACCCTTGAGGTGGAGTCATCTGACACCATCGACAACGTCAAGGCCAAGATCCAGGACAAGGAAGGGATCCCCCCGGACCAGCAGCGTCTGATCTTCGCTGGAAAGCAGCTCGAAGATGGCCGAACCCTTGCAGACTACAACATCCAGAAGGAGTCAACCCTCCACTTGGTGCTCCGTCTTCGCGGTGGAATGCAGATCTTTGTTAAGACCCTCACCGGCAAGACCATCACCCTCGAGGTGGAGTCATCCGACACCATCGACAACGTCAAGGCCAAGATCCAAGACAAGGAAGGGATTCCCCCAGACCAGCAGCGTCTGATCTTTGCCGGAAAGCAGCTCGAAGATGGCCGTACCCTTGCAGACTACAACATCCAGAAAGAGTCAACCCTCCACTTGGTGCTCCGTCTTCGTGGTGGCATGCAGATCTTCGTTAAGACCCTCACCGGCAAGACCATCACCCTTGAGGTGGAGTCATCCGATACCATTGACAATGTCAAGGCCAAAATCCAAGACAAGGAAGGCATTCCCCCAGACCAGCAGAGGTTGATCTTTGCCGGTAAGCAGCTGGAGGACGGCAGGACCCTAGCTGACTACAACATCCAGAAGGAGTCAACCCTCCATTTGGTGCTTCGTCTCCGCGGTGGTATGCAGATCTTCGTTAAGACCCTCACTGGCAAGACCATTACCCTCGAGGTGGAGTCATCCGACACCATCGACAATGTCAAGGCCAAAATCCAGGACAAGGAGGGCATCCCCCCAGACCAGCAGAGGCTTATCTTTGCTGGAAAGCAGCTTGAGGACGGCCGTACCCTTGCCGACTACAACATCCAGAAGGAGTCCACTCTCCATTTGGTGTTGCGTCTCCGTGGTGGCATGCAGATTTTCGTCAAGACCTTGACGGGAAAGACCATCACCCTGGAGGTCGAGAGTTCGGACACCATTGACAATGTCAAGGCCAAGATCCAAGACAAGGAGGGGATCCCACCAGACCAGCAGAGGCTGATCTTTGCCGGGAAGCAGCTCGAGGATGGCCGCACTCTGGCGGACTACAACATCCAGAAGGAGTCAACCCTTCACTTGGTGCTGCGTCTGAGGGGTGGTATGCAGATCTTCGTGAAGACCTTGACAGGAAAGACCATCACCTTGGAGGTGGAGAGCTCTGACACCATCGACAATGTGAAGGCTAAGATTCAGGACAAGGAAGGCATCCCTCCGGACCAGCAGAGGTTGATTTTCGCTGGAAAGCAGTTGGAGGATGGGAGGACCCTGGCTGATTACAACATTCAGAAGGAGTCCACCCTTCACCTTGTCCTCCGTCTCCGTGGTGGTTTTTAAGTGCTGGATGTGGCCGGTGGCCGTCTTCTACCCGTTCTCGTTGAACTGTTTATGTTTTTACTGTTTTTATGTATTTAAATTTGATGGTACTGTTTCTGCCTCCTGATTGAGGCATATGGACAAGTTTGGTTTATCTTTTACTATGTTTCAATAAATAAATTCCGTTCTGGATAATAACTTCCGTGTTTGAAAATTGTTGTGAATCTCTTGGTTTAATTTGTTTGTTTGCATGGATTTGTGTTTGTGAATTGTTTGCTTTCAATTGTCTGTTTTATGTTGATTGTGTGGTGCGGTTGCTATCCTTGAACCGGACCTCTGGTTTCGATTGTGGTTTCTGATTTTCCGGCGAGCTCACTCTAGAGTCCGGCATTTACCCCAATTTTTTTCCGGCAACGGAGATGGAAATTGATATATCGGAGTGAAGGTGTCCGACTCAACTATGGCAAGCGGCCTTCTAGCATCCGGCATTTACCCGAAAACCTAAGACTTTGACACCCAAAAGAAGAGATGCTGTTGAGTCTATTGAAAACACGAGTTACGCCTGTTGGTCGAATGAGGTGATGAGCCGTGTAATAGACGCTGCAGCCACTATAGGCTGCGGATGAATTTCGTTGGGAGTTTTAACAAAACACTCTTTGTTTTTAACGAAAAACCATATTTATACATTTCCCTGATACTATTCACTATACCTATAAATATGGCTTCTTATTAAAAGGGAAGTTTTTTTGGACTTTTCGTTAGTTTTCCTTATATATTTTCAGTACTTCTCCACTCGAATATTGACATCCACGTTTGAATTTCGCTATCCTGGTGCATCCGCTCGCGACTCTCTTAGTCGAGTTGGAAAAACCCGAATAAGTTACTGGCTTTGGACCTTCTGTTAACGTCAATCCATTTAGGGCTACCTGCGTGGTTTTGTCACAAAACCACTTTAGACCTCCCGTTTATATCTCGGAAACCATTTTTAGCGATTGAATTATCTTTTGCACCGAAGTATTAGACATACTAATCCGAAGTTAGTTTCCACCACATTCATATGGCCTAGCAGGGCAAAATGGTTACGGTTCAAAGACGGATCCATTCCTTACGCATCCTCATGTGGCCGGACTAAGGCCTCGTTTCGTCTTCAAGTTGGGATTACAATGGATAATCCGCTTACTCAAGATATTTTAAAGGTAGATGTTATTCATACGAAACAAATGTTGGTAGATGTCGGTGTCACGCGTTATTAACTTCTTGTATCACGTTACTTGTTGATTGCGACATACATATTACACCCTACTAACCTCCAAACAACAACCAAACGAAAATGAAAGGCTCTTTTTTAATCGATTTGAACTCAAAAACCAAGTTTTTCATGTTTGCATTTTTCAGGGGACCCTCCTATATTAGGCACTTTTTTATTCTGCGGTCACAACACACGCACAGTTCGACTCTGTACGGATGCATATACAGACACATATAAAGCTGTGTGGCATCAAATTAATCTCCCTCCGGCATCCAATTCAGCTACCGATCAAACTTACATCCCAACTTCCATTCAACTTAGTGTCTCAATGGATCAGATTTTGATCGGAATTCGTTCGGTAGCTACTTGAACTTGACATCCGATAAGATAACTGTTTCGATATGGATTTTGTCGTAAATTGACGGATTATTGAATGGAGTCGTGTTAGTATAATTTTCGTGTCCGACAGGGTTTGGAATTTCCTGTTCATTGACATGCCTAGATTCAACTACCATTCTTTGCTTCTTTCGAACCGTTCATAGTTATTGTTGCTTTCAACTCTCGAACATATATCCCAAAATAAATGTTTGAGACGGATAGCACCCTATTCTATTGTCTCTTCTGTGACTTACTTCTCATCAAGAAATCTACGCGAAATGGCGGACTCCGAGCACTCTTCTTCCGATGACACTTTCTCGGACTCTCGAGGTACTCTTTTTCTTTCGGCTTGTTCCATCTACGTGTGTTTCTTCCTTTTGCAGCCTCCTTTGTTTTGGTAGCAGTTAGCCTTACAACAATGCTGTAAGGGTCTTTAGACACTGGCTTGGAGATGTTTCATGGCTATAACCATGCATTAAAATCTCAAGGCCAGTTTGATAACTATTTCGGTTTTGGTTTTTAGTTTCATTTTCTCTGACGATTTGCAAATATGAAGCGGATAACATATTAAGAAGGGAAGAATGAGCAAATACAGTGATGGAGCCACTAAGGGGGTCCCTAGCCCATCCTGCCTTTTTTTTCTTCGTGCTGCTATTACAGATGTTGATGCTGCATATCAGTCCAATACCCTTAAAATTCAAGTGTGTTCTCAATCCAAACTCTTTTTCATACCGAGCCAGGCCTCATTTTTCTTTTCATCCCCCTTATTACAGTGCAAGCTTCACTTCCTCTTCTTATTCTATCAACGGTTCTTCGCCTTAAAACTTATATTTTAAAAGATTTCTAGCTTACTCTTTACCTCATATTCGGATTACTAGGTTTGCTGCAAATATGGAGGAATGACCATCAGAACATGCCCACTATATTTACAAAGAAATAAATGAAAATTAGAAACTAAAAACGAAATGATTATCAAATATGTCCTCCTCCGAAACCAAAAGCAAAATAAGTTTGTGTATTAATTCTTCTCATTGATCATGAGTTGTTTATTTCAGAGAAGAGCACAGAAAAATCTGAGCTTCAATTCTCCGAGGATGAGGAAGCACTTATCATAAGAATGTACAATCTAGTAGGGGAGAGGTTGGTCCGTTTTATTCTTCGACTTGTAATTATCTTGATCGAACTGTATGTTTTAACAATTTTCCGGCAGGTGGGCTTTGATTGCCGGGAGGATTCCGGGGAGAACAGCAGAAGAAATTGAGAAGTATTGGACTTCTACACACTCAACTAGTCAATAAACAAGGTGGTCAATTGGTTGTTTCATGTGTATCCAAAATATTTACTCCTTGTCCTGTAAATTTACTACGTACGTTCAAGAGAAATCTTCATTTATCAGACGATAGTCGTCGAGTAATTTAGTTACGTCTATCATTTTTGAAAATTATAAATAAGTAAATGATGCATCAAATAGACTGTCAACCAAACATCTTACCTGCCTTATACATTACTTTGTTTGTAAAGCTTGGTGTCAAGTACTTGCTTCCCGCACATCGCACAAACTCCTGCATAACGTCGCACACATCAGACTTTCACGCAATAACAAACCTACAAAACCAGTCAGATCGCCAAATAGAGACACTACCTTTGGAGTAGGCACATGTGTGACAGTATTTGCCATCCTGGTGTACTTGCTGCTTGCAAATGATGCACTTGGTAGTTCCGTAAGGAGTCCACCTACACGCAAATGAATGAAACTCATGTCACAAAATTTTGCAGATGTGATACATCCACACAAACTGACTGCATAAAAAAGGAACACAAGAAACAGAAACGGGGTAGTCAAATCAGTATTGTACACATGAATCATGAAAGCGTTTTGTGCAACCTCGTAGAACTGATCAACGACATAACTTGTATCACAGAAAACTCAAGAAACGACAATGGGGTACTTAAGCAATTATCGTATACACAAATCATGAATCCATTTTGTGCATCGTCTTCAACTGATCAAAGATGTAACAAACAGTAGAGAAAACTATATCGAAACTATACGAAACTTATGTCTTTCTAGTCTCTGCAATACCCTACACAAGTCCTCTTCACAATTCGCAACATCTCGATTTCCCAAAACCACAAGACATACTGTTTATTGTTCATCCGGTCCGTTAAATAAATAAAGGAGTTTTATCAAAACATTCTCAGTACTGTTCACTTTTAATCAAAAACCACATTTTTACCTTTCCCTTATACTATTTACTACATCTTTATTTGTTATTTTTCATTAAAAATAAAGTTTTTATGGACTTTTCGTTAGTTTTCTTTAAATTAAAAGGATGGCACCAAAATTTTCAAATCCAAATCCCTGCTCTGGCTAAACCCAATTAAAACAAGAAAATTGAAATTCAGACATATATACACAGAAATAAAAGAAAAATAAAAATATAAGAAAGCGGACCGACCTTTTCTTCTTGGAGAGGAGCTTGTTCTCGTTGGTTTTCCGGCCACCGCCTTCGGTGGTGTTACTGGCACCTTCCTTCCACTTGTCCGGCACTATAATCTTCGAAAGCTTCTTCTCGCCTGTCAATTCAACAAATTCAGATAAAATATCGAAATTACTTTCAATCGGAGTTCAGAAACTGCATAATACACTCAAATTTCAAACTTTCGACTTTTTTTAAATGAAAAAGAGTAGAAATTTTCCAAAAATTGATAGCGAATTTAGAGAAACTTACACTTGTCGCACACCATTCCTTGTTCTTGACCCTTTGACTTGCGATTCTAGCTCGGAAGCAGGAACCCTAATTCGAATCTTTGATTCTGGGGACTCTTCTGTTCGTCGTCTTGTGCTCACCGTTTTGGCGTTCTCGATCTAATAATAGAAAGTGTCCGTTGGATTTGAGGTGGCGGATTTCAGCCGTTGGATTACCAAGAGTATATGGATGATGATATGGGAGATACTCTGAGTTTTTATTCTCCTTGTTTTACAATACATAATTTTTCATGTAAATTAAAAAATGAAAATAATTTTTTTTAATTTTTTTTTTTTTTACACCTAAGTGATATTTTAAAGCATTCTAGTTTATGAGGACTACAACTTAAACGTTTACGCAAGAGGATGAACATGCTATTTTGATTAACTAACTTAATTGATAAATGCATATAAATTTAATTTTTAAGATCTACTGCAAATTCGCTTATTTTGTATTTCAAGCTAAAATAGAATTTTGAATTTGACATTGGAATTACTTTCTAGTGATATTTTATTTTCACTTAAGTGAGAGGTCGTAGATTCAATTTGAACAATGAGTTTGACACCAAATTATCAAAGTTGACATTACATATTATATAACTTGACTCAAGTCCACCAATCCCTCAAGTACAATATCGTTATATAAAAAGAGTGGTGTTATTCACATACACCTCTTTTTACTTCTACACGTTTCTCTTATTTTTTGGTCGTCAGATCCATAAATTGAAGAAAATCTAAAAACATAAATAGCAAATAGTGTGTGAGAAAATAAAATAAAATCTATAAATAGTAGATAGTATTGAGTGAGATAAAAATACAAGATATATATTCCTTAGATTTCTCATTTCACTTATTAGTAGCCCTTACATTACAATCAATCCATTAATACCTCAACTTGCTCAATTATTCATATGTTGGGTTCCTCACGATCTGGCTGCATCTCAGACTAACTTAATCTGGCTGCATCCCACATGACTCATGAGATAAGAGATGAATATGCCTTCTTTTATTCTGGTTTCTTACGGTTATTTTATATTTTCCATGTCTTTTTTTATACTACAACAATAAATCATCATTGGCCAAATGAGTTTGGCCACGTGAATCTTAGAACGATAATGCGCAAAGTCTTCTGTTAACTCTAAGTATTCATAGTTCTTTTTTATGTGCTGGAAAAAAAAAGGAAAGAAATAGTAAATCTTTTGAGGACCAAGAGAAAGCAACCTCTTTTGAGGACCTAAACTTCACTAATTTCAGTAAAAATCTTTGTTTAATATGTTAATCGTGTATTTACCACACAAATCAAAAGAAACCTCGCAAAAAGAAGCCAACAATTGTGGAGAAATCTTAGGCTTTATAGGCTACTTTTGTTTGTTTGATTGATAAAAGCAAATTTAACCATTTAAGTTCATTTTAATCTTCATTCTTAAATATAAAAAGTAAATAAAATAAAAAACTTCTGTGCAACTGAAATACCGCTCTGGCCTTAACACAATTTATTACATGTTAAAAATTTAAAACATATAATAATGCGTTATCACTTTGAAATACCATCATGGTAACTTCCCGCTAAGTTTTATCTTCACATTTTCTCTCGAGTCTCGACAACCAAATCCAGTTGTCTAGATCCAATAACGTTCGATTATTGTATGACCGCTCACATTAGATCACGTTCATATAGCAGAACATGGACCCCAACCTCTGCCCAATTGCCAAACACCGATTGAGGGGCAGCCTGGCTTCCCTCGGTCCCCAATTCTACACCTTGTTATTTTAGTCTTGTTTCATCCTAACATGCAGTTCACTTCACTCATGGATTTTTTTATTCCCAAAATAACAGTTAAAATTTTCGAAATATCTGTACTTCAGAACATGATAAAATATCTCGACATGAAAATGATGTTTTTACAAGATGATTTATATTGATTAACATAAACAACTCAAAACTTGAGTGAAAGGAACAAACACACTGTATCGACCAACTGGCCTAATCCAACCATAATCCAATGATTAAAAACACCAGACAAACAAATGTGACTGGGTTCCCAGCCTTCTTTAAGTCACATTCATAAGTCTGACAATTTAATGCACCTCTCCTCCTCGTCCTCCTGGAGATCCAGCTGAAAGAAGCTCTCCCATCCATTGTTCTAACCTTATTCAGATTCTCTGTTCCAAATTCTCGACCCGAAAATGGAAAGAAGGGCGTCTCCGATGCCTGTTCTTCTTTATATTGCAGCTCTCATGGCTGCTTCTTGTTGTTCTTCATCAGAGGCAGCTGCCCCAAAAAGTTCTTTCGAGGACAATTTCGATATAATGTGGTCTGAGGACCATTTTACAACTTCAGAAGATAAGCAGATCTGGTATCTTTCCCTCGACAAAGACACAGGTAAACATACACAAGATATAATATAAGCAACAGTAAACACAAGTTAGGCCAGTTGACTACGACAATAAGTTCACCCTTGGTTTATAATATCGTCCCGTCAATAAAGATCTATTTGCTCGTCCATATATATGTTTCAATCTTACTCGAAGATTTTCTTCTAATCACAAATTGTATATGGATGTAATTCTGTAGCTTTCTTTCTTAAAATTGAGCAGGTTGTGGATTTCAAACGAAACAAAAGTACAGATTTGGATGGTTTAGCATGAAGATCAAGTTGGTCGGAGGTGACTCCGCAGGCGTAGTCACAGCTTATTATGTGAGTAATCCTGCCTACGGTCGGGAATATATCTCCTTCTTTCTGTTGTGACAGTGTACTTATCACGTCACGCGATGAGCGCTACAGGAATTAAGAACGGGATACATGTGTACTGACTAATGAGACTTGAAAATGTACTCGTTGTTTGCAGATGTGCACCGAAAATGGAGCAGGGCCAGAGAGGGATGAGCTAGATTTTGAGTTCTTGGGGAATAGAAGCGGGCAACCTTATCTGATCCAGACAAATGTGTACAAGAATGGAACTGGAAACCGTGAGATGAGGCACCAGCTTTGGTTCGACCCCACTGAGGAATATCATACTTACTCAATTCTCTGGAATAATCATCAGATTGTGTAAGTATATATATCTTTCTTTTGCTCTTGCTCACACGTTTGACACGAATGCTGTGTAAATCGTTTGATCAACACAAGTTTGCTGATAAACGGTTTAAACAGTTTGTGACAGTGATACATATTCGTGTGGCAGATAATCTCTATAATATAGATGTGCTTTTAGATTAGTAAAAACCGTTTAATCAATTGAGTTATGCCTATCTGACAGTGTAGATAGTGTTTACATGTGATATATGTTCATATAACAAACAAACACAAATGACCGACTATTTCTATGTAACACATGAAATTATGCAAACTGAACGCATATGACATACGAATATTGTCTGAGCCGTTAGATCAGTAGAAATCGTCTAATAAATAGAATTCAGCTATCTAACTATACAAACATCTGTTTTGCATACAGGTTTTTCGTGGACAAAGTTCCCATAAGGGTGTTCAAGAACGATGGGGAAGCAAACAACTTCTTCCCCAATGAGAAGCCGATGTACTTATTCTCCAGCATATGGAACGCAGACGATTGGGCCACCAGAGGTGGGATTGAGAAGACAGACTGGAAGAAATCACCATTTGTGTCCTCCTACAAGGACTTCAGTGTTGATGCCTGCCAATGGGAGGACCCATTCCCTGCGTGCGTCTCCACCACAACAAAAAACTGGTGGGACCAGTATGATGCCTGGCACCTATCAGATGCCCAGAAGAAGGATTTTGCTTGGATACAGAGAAATATGGTGATTTATGATTATTGCAAGGATTCTGAACGCTTCCCAACATTGCCAGTGGAGTGCCCATTGAGTCCATGGGAATAAAAATATATATTGCCAAGTTTTGTAATTTAGAGGTTAAGTCTCCGCGCAACAGAAATGTTGTTCTTTGTGATTGAAAAGATACGGGTTTGAGTCGTGAAAACAACCTCTTTGCAAAACAAAAATAAGGTTACATACGATAAAGGTTCCCTCCACCCTCGCAAAGCAAGCGGGGAGCCTGGTTAGTTTGAAGTCTCATTTTTTATTGTAAAGTTTTGTAATTTCAATTTTTGGTAAGGCACTAGCATGTGCTTTTGTAGACCATTTTTGTATTTGGCGATTGTATTTTTATGGAATTTTAATTCAATTTTGTTTAATAAAATAATTTATTCCATTTAAAATACCCTTGTATCAAACTTACAAATAAGTGAGGATGGTGAAGCAAAATAATTTCGTAATTCTTGATTTTTGAATATTTAGAATTTCGGAGTAAAAAATAAAATGTTTAAATTCGCTCGGTCAATTCTAACGATATTCTATTTTTTTTCTTTTGAGTTTTATATTCTATTTTATACTATTTTAATTTACGATAACGAAATTTAAACTTGCCCATGAGCGGCCAACTTATAAACACTATCAAGAGCAACTGAATTAGATTCCAATTCGTTTTATGAGTGTGATTAGAGTCAACTAAACGAAATATGTAAAAATACACAAAAACATGTAACTTGAGTGTCTAAGAGCATTTTACAGTTTTACTCGTGCTGTCCTAAGTGGCAAAGTTCGATTATTTTCTTCCCTAAACCATCAAAGGGAAGAAAAAAAATAAAAAAGAAAAGTAGAATTATAATTGGATAAAACGACATGTCGCATGCTCTAGGCTTCTCATCTTCCACACGAAAAAGGCAACACTCGAAGCTGAAAATCAACCATCTACCCCCGGAGGCTGCTTCTTCCTCTTCACACAAAGCAAAACCCTTCCTGCAAAAATTGAACCCCCAAAAATGGGTTCAATTCCGAAACTACCCCTCCTCCTCCTCACCACCGTCGTCCTCCTCCTCGCCGCCTTCACCGAGTTATCCGAATCCAACCCGGTCCCCGAACTCCTCTCCCTCCAATCCCGATCCAGTTCTGGGGTGATCCGCCTCGACGACCGCTCCCTCGCCAAATTCCTCACCGCCGTCAAAACCCCGCGACCCTACTGGGTCCTCGTCTTCTTCGATGCTGCGAAGCTCCACGAAAAGTCGGAGCTTCACCTCAAGGAGCTCCGCAAAGAGTTCGCCGTCGTCGCCTCCTCCTTCATCGAGAACAATCAGGACCCGTCATCCCCTTCCCACGCCAAGCTCTTCTTCTGCGACATCGAGTTCCAGGAGTCGCAGCACAGCTTCGCCCAATTTGGAGTCAACTCGCTGCCGCACATCCGCCTGATCGGCCCCACCCACGGCCTGAAGGAGTCGCCGCAGATGGACCAGGGCGATTTCTCCCGATTGGCCGAGTCAATGTCCGAGTTCATCCAGTCCAAGACCAAACTCGTCGTGGGTCCGATCCATCGGCCTCCGATGCTGTCCAAGAACCAGATTATGTTCGTCACCATTGCCTGGCTGATTTGCATGCCGTTCATTGCGAAGAAGGTTTACAGTGGCAAGACATTGCTTCACGAGCCGAGGGTCTGGCTAGCGGGGTCGGTTTTTGTTTACTTCTTCAGCGTCTCGGGCGCAATGCATAACATCATTAGGAACATGCCCATGTTTTTGGTTGATAGGGAGGATCCTTCCAAGCTCATATTTTTCTACCAGGGCTCCGGAATGCAGCTCGGAACAGAGGGGTTCACTGTCGGATTCTTGTACACCATTGTCGGGTTGTTGCTGGCATTCCTCACCCGCGTGCTTGTTACGGTTCAGTGTCAAGGTGCAGCGCATTGTGATGATTATTGCACTGTTTGTTTCGTTCTTGGCGGTGAAGAAGGTGATCCAATTGGATAACTGGAAGACCGGTTACGGGGTGCATGCTTTTTGGCCTACGAGCTGGAACTGAGCTCGGGGAGGATGAGGATGTCAATTCGCGAATTGAGCTTCTATAAAGGTGATAGATTTATTATGTTAACGGAAACTTTGATAACGAATTGATCATAAAAAAGATGTGTACTTTTTGATGGTTGGTCCTGCATTAGCAGGGCTTACATTATGTTTGAACCGAGAACTATGTGTTAGAAAATTTCGCCTGATTACTTACGCTTTACGTTTACGATGTTAGTTATGTATGGTTTGGTATTGTCGGCAGCAGACCAGGGCATTGCAACCAAGGTGTTTGCTTTCCTTGTTAAAGCTAGTATATTAACCGATTACTCGCCTCTGTATTAGACGAGTATTGTTATTGCTTCATCTGCAGACCGTTGCAAACGGAAATTTCTCTCTTATGAACATTGTCATGCTATCATTTCTTCCGTTGGTTATAACTTGACTAGGTGAATGTGATTTTCATTTGCTGGATGAGTTGCTCTACTGAACTGTGGACGAGATTGTCATTCGTGATGGCCTCTTGCGTTTGCAAAGAGGTTCGAAAACTTGGTTATGCTTGAGATAGGGTTTATGGGGGTAGAGTCAGTTAGATGTTGTTTGATAGGGGATGCAAAATAGGAATTTCAAGTAATCTTGTTGCGGAGTGTGCTTTGATTATATTCGTATGTCTCAGTTGTTAGAATCTTTAGCATGAGCATCGAGGAACTGATGCCTGCTTAAGAATAGATACAGGGTTGACAGTAGCCTATACTTCAGTCTTTCTGTGGGTCTATATGTGAAGTGACATTTTAGTACTTGGGTGAAGGTGTCATCTAGCTAATCGTTTTGTTCAAGCGTCTATTTGGGTACTGGTTGCGCGATCTTATTGTGATCGGTATTCATGTTGCAGTATACGGTCATTTAAGATAGTTTCTGGCATATAAATTTTGCCTGGATAGAGGCTTCCCTTGAATCTTGAAGAACAGGTTTGGTGATAAATTTGAAGGGCACCGGTGAAAGAGATGTTTCGGCTCTTGTATGAAAGACAATGAGTGGAGGGAAAACTCTTGGCTCAGAGGTTTAGATTATAATCTGAAACCAGCAACAAAGCTTTTACTTAGCTAGTTGTCCATGGTGAAGCTTCAATTTAGGGGGTTGAACGTGTACATTGGTCATTGGTGAGTCAAAATATACGTACTCATTTTTTTGGTTCTAAAATGTGTTCATTTTTTTAAAATATTATTATTCACTAAGAATTTGCTATCTCACTTTTCTTTTGAAGATGAGAACTTATATTCTAATGGATTTTGAGGAATTTTAGTGGATTTATTATAAATTCATAGAATTTGATGGAATTCTCGTTGATTTCTAGAGTTTTTCATGTGGATTTTGAGTGAGATTTCGTGAAATGTGAGATTTGTGAATACGAATTCATCCAATTGCGACGACAAGTTTAATACCAAGAGGAGAGAAAGAATGGATAAATTCCTATATAGACCCTTAAGACCCAAGTTGGGCTTTGCTTTGCCCCTCCAAATTTCTCTCACTTTCCATTAGAGTAAACATTTTGTCATAATAAACCCTAGATCCTTTCTTGTTCCTCAAGCTTCCATTTGCTTGAGAGTTGAGACAATCGGTTTTGTTGTGATCTTATTTGAACGACTTATACTTACGGATTCCATATCAGAATATTAGTACGTAAATCATAAACAAACCAAAACCCTACTTCTTTCTTTGCACTACAATATTCATTCTTCCTTCATTAACACGGTAACTTGCTTCAACTTCTACGCTCTTAATCATATCATGGTAACCATACCGATTTTGTTTTTGTTCTTCCTCATAATCGTGGAGATAACTATGATATTGGCGATGTTGGTGGGAACCGACTTAATCAAAGGGGACGTGATGGTAAGGGTTCTGGATTATTTCAAGCGCAATCATGGACCTCTGCCCATGACCATAGCACGAGGGATTTTCTGGCTGCTCATCACGTATTGTGTTTTCAACGTTACGATGATTCAGGAGATTGATGGCTACCATTTTGCAATCATTCTCACATGTAATATTTTATGAATTCACTCCTTTTTTTCTTTTCGTGAAAGCATTCGATACACTAATTCTTTCTGTGGCACACATGACTATTTAGTCTAGTGACGTCGAGTCTTCACTTTTTTGGAAAATGTCCGAGTTCAAATATCATGGACCATAATTGCTAATCATAAGAGAAAAAAAAATCTCTTCATTTTTTATTGTACTCGCCATTAAACTTTGTTTTTCAGTACTCACCATTAATTTAAATCCCTTTTTTGTTGCCTTGCAGGGTTCTCCCTATTCCTTGCTCTTCTTATAGACAACTACACACCACCATACGGCATCTGCCTCAACAATTACACAACTAGAGGAGCAACTGTCATCCTCGCGCATAAGAATCGAAGAGTTGCAATCCGAACTTGAGACGGCTAAGACAGAAGACACTGCATCGCGGGACGTAATATTGAAACTGCATGATGAACTTGAGGCAGAAAGAAATGAGAGCACATGTTTCAAGTTTCAGGTATTAGCGCTCAGTTCAGCGATAGACGCTGAATTTGAGAACAAGCGAGAAGAGACCCCAGGACTCAAACAACAAGTATTTAAACTTGAGGCGGAGATGCAAGAGAAGGACACGAGAATCCAACGAATGGGGGATGCATTTGAGTGTGAAGAATTTGTGAACAAGGACCTTAATGAGCTAGTAACGAAACTTATTGAGCATAACACATGAATCTCGGAACTGCGTTATAACGTTGAGGTGAACGGTTCTGGTTGGTGAAGCGTGACTAACGTCCGGAGATTGTCAAACTAACGGGGATAAGAAGATTAACATTTAATTAAGGAAGTGTACGCCTTTTGATGTGCTTCTACAAGGTGCACTCAAAAGTTATATTAATTTTTGATGTGCTTCTATTAAAAGTGATTTTGTTCATTGAGAAGCATTTCCAAACAGGATGTGGAATTTTCTTCGATTAATTGAATGAATTTGTTGCTGACTCACTTTAACTACATTACATGCTGCAGGGTTATCCGTGTTCCTTGGCATCGTGGCTGCAGAAAAACTACACTCCCGTGGTAGAGTCAAGCAGCTAGAATATGAGACCACATTTCTTAAACATAACAAATCTGCACTTGAGAAGGAGGAGGAGAGAACACAACACTAAAGGCGGAGGCGTGTAAACTGTTCAGAGACAGAAATGGAGAGGGGCGAAAGAATATGAAAACTGGTAGCTAAACTTGGGGATGAGATACAAGACAAGGACAGCGATTAGGTTCTTAACTTGAGTCAAAGATACAAGACTTGAACGCTGCAGAAGCTAGTAGAATTGCTCTAAGAA